AACTCCCTGACAGGAGGGGGGAGCCAGGTGGGGGTTGGTCTCTTCTCCCAGGCAACTATCAGTAAGACAAGAGGACATGGTCTTAAGCTGTGCCAGGGGAGGTTTAGATTAGATATTAGGAAGAAATTCTTTACAGAGAGGGTAATCAGGCATTGGAATGGGCTGCCCAGGGAAGTGGTGGATTCCCAGTCGTGGTGGTTTTTGAGACGAGACTGGATGTGGCATCAGTGCCATGATCTGGTAACCACAGAGGTGTAGGATCAAGGTTGGACTTGATGATCTCAGAGGTCTTTTCCAACCCATCTGATTCTATGATTCTATGATTCTACTCTATGATACAGGTAAATTGCTAAAAGCAATTGAGGAAAAGAGGACTCCAGTTTCCAAAACGTGGTTTAAAATGTTATTAGTTTAAATTTATCCAGGTAAACAGTTATTTCAAAATGTTAGACATCTACATGTCAAGCCAGCATTCATTTAAATTGGGATTAGAGGAGATCCTGAGTTAGCTCAACTAGTACTTATCTTTTTCCTTTGTTGGTTAAAATTGTTGATAACCACTCCAATAAAAAGGTTCAGCATGAAGAAAGATCCAAAAATAATGAAAACCACAAAGTATATGTACATGGGTAAGTTTGCTTCAAACTTTGGCTGTTCATCGATCTGTTAAAAAAAAGTCAAACCAGAAAAATAATATTGGTAAAAAGGAGATAATCACAACTTTACCATTTCCAATTTATAATAACAGATCTTTTCATTGTCATGAGGGATAAATTATTTCCACGCATTTACATCTTTACCTGGATGTACAGGTAGAACCACTCTCTCGTTCTATAGTGACAAACAGAGCCATAGAGAAAAATCCAGCTTCAGCAAATTTTTAAGTAATAAAGAACCAGTTCCAATCAGAAGGGATGCTGTGAATGCCCTGATTAAAAACAACAGCTCAGACTAAACTTAATGTCCTGGTAAGAGAGTGAGGAACAGCACATGCAAAGGGGGAAGAAATAGTGAGGGTGTCAAATCTAGGGAAGAAAAACTCCAGAAATAACTGCTCTAGCTGCATGCTGTTTCAATGCTCCTGTACACGTTTAAAAAGGAAGATAATCTGCACAGTCCCTCCAAGAGCTTCTGTATTCTGTTTGCAAAAGAG